CTGCTGGCCCAGCGGGGCACGCCGAGGTCTGTGGCTGCCCCGGGCCGTGGCAGGGCGCTCCGGGGAGAGACCTTCCCCAAGGTGCGGCCCCTGAGTGGAAATTAGGGGATTGATTAGCCGGCGTGTCGAGCAGTTTTCCTTTCTGGTCGGAGCTTCTGACCCGCACGGGGTGGTTTGGGGTGCTTAAAAGGTGCTGTTCCCTCGTTAAGTGCGTTGGCAGTGCCTGCCTTGTGCTGTCGCAGGTCTGTGGTGGAAGCATGGCGAGCTGGAATTCCCAGGTGCAGTATGTTACATTGCTAAGGCTTTCGTGTGATGGGTGTTTGGCTCTTCAGATTTTCAGAACTTCCTACTTGCCATCAAAAAATTAAGAGGAGCTGCCATGCTAACTAATCCAACTTGATTTGTGCTGCTCAGTATAAAAAAAAAAATGTTATCAGTGAAAAAAAGACCTCTGCAGTTTGTTTCCTTCCAGCACAGTACCTACGCTGCATGAGGTCCCACAGTATCTTACTTGGCAGCAACTTCATCATGCACACGTTTGCCCATTGCTTTAAACTGCAAATCTGTTAGGTTCTTCAGTTTCATGTTTAAGGTATATTAATGGATCTCTGGTAGCTGGAGATGCTGAATCACTGATATGGAAGTTATATACTTTCTTACAGCCTTTATTCTGATGCTTACTCTTGAGTTACTGTCCATCCATGTAGTGTTCCAACACCTAAAAGAAGAGGGAAGAAATAAAGAAGAGAGTAGTAATAGTACTTTAGCAATTAGGCAAAATTCAGTGAATACCTTGAGAGTGTGTATACAAGATTCGGCATAGGTTATAACAGTGGTACAGAGCCATCCTTTTCTGAGAATATGTTCTGCAATCCACAGATGTGGGGTGAGGTTTCTAGTCTGTGAGACTTGAGATCCCAGGGCTTGCATTTTGTGCATCTCTATAGTGCTGCTTGCTGTCTGTCTCCTAACTGTGTCACTCATGCAATTTCATTCTAGTACATTACTCCACTCTTGAAGGAAACCACTATATATTCCCTTTTAAAATTTATTTTTTGTAAGAAGTGTTTGTTACATTAAGCTGTCCTAAATACAGGAATAGGTTCAGACATACTGTAAAAATAGTCCAGGGTCAAGAGTGTGCTAGATGCTAATCACACATACCTAGCACAATAAAGCAAATGAGCTTTGGGAGCTTTCTGCACACATATAGTGCACTAACATCAGTCATTTGTTGGTACATAGATGGGAACGTTTTGGAAAAGTGAAGCTTCCAAAAGAGAAACTTCTTGGTATTGATGATGTTATATGCTCTCATGCAAAGAGCTCTCCAAACATCGCATCATAGGCAAAATAGATGTTAACTGAAAAGCACTAAAAGGGTGAAAAGGCCCTTAACACTGTATGAAGAGCTTCCTGGCTTTGTTAGTCCTTGAGAATGGGGTTTTAATGACGAGTAGTAATTGTCTGATTTAAGGAATCTGCCTCAGTCTCTTTTTTTTTTCTTTGAACAGTATTATCAGAAAAACCAGCGACTTTCACAATCACTGTGACGTCTGAAGCAGGAGAAAATGATGAAAGTAAGTGGATCATGTCTTAAACATATATAGGAGGGGTTTCTGTGTAAGCCTAATTACATCTCCAACAACTAGGCATACCTCCACTTAGTCCTCTTAGGAGCCTGATCCAGCAAGCATTCCTCAGCAAGTGTAGTTAAAGGATTGTGGGGATCTGTGTTAGCTTGCAGAAGTGTTGTGCTCTCCCTAGGGCTGCTTTCTGACATGCTCAACCTCAAGCACTTTGCAGTGTAGCTTCAAAAAAGAATGGGTTGTCATCATCCCCATAGCAGCTTATGGCCATTTTGTGATATATTTTTTTTTCTCTAGTAACTGTATGTATACCAGCCACATGGGAGAGCTGTGTCTGTGTGTAGTGAATATGCAGCCCTTAAGGAACAGTGAGCTGTGGGTCCCAAGTGCTTTTGTTTTTGTTGGGTATCAATGGTTACATGGGCTTGTTGCAGGCAAGCCTTGCTCCAAGTAAGTTTGAGAGCCACTGTTCTGGGTTGCTCTATTAGAAAGAGGGAACTGCTGCCGTGTCCTTCAGTTTTAATGGAGAAAGACCTTCTCAGAGCAGGTGTCTGTGTTGAAGAGACTGCTGGGCTGCCAGAACTGTGAGTCTTGAGGATCTGAAGGAGGGCTGCTTCATGGTATTCTGGCAGGATGCGTGAAAGGAACTTGCTTCTTTTTTGTCTTGTTTTCATGTTATCCTGGCTCTAGATAGCTTCAGGTTGAGTGTGTTCTCCTTAGAACACACTCTCTGATCATTAAGTTACACTGAACATTGCATCCTTGTCATATGATTTATGTGGTACCCAACACAGAGACTGATACTCCAGTCAGGGACACAGAATTTGAAACGTTAATATGCTGAGATTAGCTCTGTTGTTAAGACTCTTCCTCATTTTCTCCAGCTTTAAGTGGGCTATGAGGTAAAAGAAATTAACTACTCTAGTTACTCACCACACCATATTTCCAGTCTTTCTAAAGACCTTTCAGACGTTAGTTGCCTGTAATAGTTTATGTAAGGGTGAACTTTACTGTCTTAACTTCTCAGAACTCTTGCATTATATTTAAATCTGTCCATATAGTTTTAACAACTGTGTAAGGTGACTGTTCCTTTAAGACGAGTATTTTGTGTTTTAAAATCTGCTAATGCAATAGAAGTTAGAGTTATATAAAGTTATCACCAGAAGAATATGTGGATTTTTTTTTATCTTGTAGCTGTGCAAACAACCTTGAAATTTACCTATAGAGAAAAATATCCTGATGAAGCTCCACTTTATGAAGTTGTCTCACAAGAGAATCTTGATGATAGTGATGTTACAGACATAATAAAACTGCTAGAACAACAGGTAAGGAAAATGGAATATCTCAATTCAGCTTGATATCACTGCACACCTTAGCCAGAATTTCTCTCTCAAATCAGTTGTTTTCTGAGGTACGTGCTACTGATTTGAAACACATTCCATACAGTAGAGACTGACTTTTAAGTTTTACTTTAAATCACATTGAGATAAATTATGTTAATAAGGTACAATACAAGGCTAATTCTGTGTCCACAAGTACAATAATGACATGGGAGTGCTCTAGGGCTTCCCCTCTTTTGCTTAAGGTGAAATTGTTTAACTGTATATATATAGTATTTTTTGAGATAAGCCACTTTTATTTGGAGAGATTAACAAATGCTACATTTATTCTTGATTTTTCTTAATAACACAACTCTCTGGGAGGGGAAATATTTCTTCAGCCTTGCAATCAGTGAGAGTTCATTGTAAAGTAAGGAGAAGGAAACATTTCTCTGGTTTCAGGAATTCTTGACATGTCCCCCCTGTCTTAAAATTGCCAGTAAATTGTTCAGTAAACATTATTTCTTTTCACTTTAATTCGTTCTTTCTCTCAACTGATGTGTTTTGTTTTTCCTGGGAAACTGTCCCACTTCAAAGAGTCATGTAATGGGATTAAAGAATAAGCCGTTACAGGGAAGAAAGGTTCTGAGTACCTGTTGTCACTTCAGGCTTATGATATTCACATCTTGGGGTTGTATTCCTGCTATATGTTTTGTTTTGTGAAAAAGCCTTCCTGTCTGTAATACGTTGATAACCTGAACAAGACATCATCATCACCATTGGTCTGTTTCTGAGTATCCATTTGGGAGTAACTTTAACTGGATTAACTGGCCATTTGACTTGAATTTTGCAATGAGCTTCTGAGACTGGTGCAGAGTGCTTCAGCTGTGTTATCTGCATTTGCACATCATACTGCTTTCCAAATATATGTATGTGTGTATTCAGCTGCTGAAGGTTTGAGATTCTCCTTCTGTTTGAGATTGCTTTCTTTGTGTTTTAGGCAGAAGAAAATTTAGGAATGGTTATGATCTTCACTCTAGTCTCAGCAGTACAGGAGAAATTAAATGAAATAGTGGATCAAATAAAAACACGGAGAGAAGAGGAAAAGAAACAGAAAGAAAAAGAAGCAGAAGAAGAAGAGAAAGTATGTAAAATAATTATTTCAACTAAAAATTTCCCGCTTTTTTTAAATGCCTGGATTTGATGTAGGAGCAGCTCTTAGTTGCAGTGGGAGAGAAACATCAATCCGAAATCTGATATAAATGAATCTCAAGGACTAGAAGATACTTTAGTGCACCTAAGTGATTTGTTTTATTTTTTTTCCCTCCATTTTCAAAAGCAGTCTTTTCAGAGGCATGCTGCACATTCACAATCCCTTCTAGTATTACTACTTAACGCAGGGCAGGGATTTTTCCCAAATGAAATCTAAGTTGCTGTAGTCAGTTTTTTCCTTGAAAAGACAAGAGGGGATGGGGAACAAAAAAGTCTAGAATATGGCATGCTGCTCAAAGGCTGCATGGTCTGAGGAAGGCTCTCTTCCTTGGTAGGGTGGAAGCAATGAGACCAGTCTTCAAGACTGCTTTGTCTTCCCTTTCTACCAGCCACTGTGGAATAGTTGTTACGTTCATGGAATGTACTGTGATAAGTTCAACTACTGATTCATCACTTTCTTTCTCAAAAACAGCTAGAGGATGGTGGGACTTGGAAGGTTCAACACTTCTGAAAATGGCAGAAAAATAGCTGGAAAAAAAAGAATTGTCTTTCTGTCTTGACGAGATAGAAGGGTTACAGTATTTTACTGGGAGTTATTTCAGTGTAGGTTGTACTGAAGCGTTGATAAGAAGCGCTGTCTTCTTATGGGCAGCTTGTATTAGCAGTGTGTTGCTAGCAATTGTACTATAGATCCAAAAGTAGTATGTGGGGATTTTCTGTAAGAATTTCAACCTCAGTACAAGTCTCTGAAGGGAGAGTCCCATGACAAAATCCAGTAAGAATGTGTTCTTTGTATATTCTCAGTGTTAGGATTAATTTCACAGCAAGCAGTGCTCCTAGAGAGTGTTGTAAGTTAAATAATTAAAAGAATAGTCATCTTCCCTCATAGCTTTGCAAGTTGTATTTACAGACTTGTTTTCTGTTCTTTCAGCAACGTTTTCATGGCACTCCTGTTACAATTGAGAACTTCCTAAACTGGAAAGCAAAGTTTGACGCAGAACTTCTAGAAATAAAAAGGAAAAAAATGAAAGAAGAAGAACAAGCGGGCAAAAATAAATTGAGCGGTATGGTTTAAAACTGGTCCTGAAGTTTTTGCAATTCTGCCAGATTATAATGCCAAGCCTAAAAGTAATTTTTGTGCCAAAAGATGGTGGTAGTAAACAAACTATTAATGCAGTATGTAATTATTGTCTTCCATGTCACATGAAGTCTTTCTGAGTGCTGATTTTGGGCAAAATACAAAGGTAATAGATTTAAGATTTCTGCTGAAGTCATTAAGGTTTCCAGACTGGGTGTTAAAGCTTCTTCAGTTTTGTGCCAGACAGCATACCACTTGGAGCTTCTGCTGACAAGCATTGTTCTGGTAGAAATAAGTGACCTTTGTTAAGCAACAGAAGGAATCTACAACAAACAGTTTATAGATTTGGCCTTTATTGCACTGGATTGTACAGCGAGTTCAGTTTATTCAAGTGCATGTAGGAGTTTGGGATGCTGTTGCTGGACTGAAGAGGCTGCTGCTTGTGATGAGCTTATGATGACTACTGAAAATAGCAGCCTCTGCTCTAATATTTTGGGGAAGAGCTTCTCACAGGAGTGGTTTCTGTGTTTTGAAGATCGCAGTTTGTCCAGCAAAAAGCAAACACTCTATCCAATGGGCAAAACGGAGAGGAAATTACTGGTCATCCTCCTCCACACTGTCCATGACTTGGCTCTGAACTGGTTCTCCTGTGGTATTGCATCTACTTTTTAAACATAACCAGTATGACACTCATGTGTCACTGCTACCCTTTTTCCTCCCTTTTGAAGGATTTGGAAACTTTCGGCTAGTTGTGGTGAAATTTAACAGAGATAGGTGAGTTTCATGAAGAGATGTTCAAGCAGGGGACACACTTTATTCCCCTCTGAATGGAATGCATTTAGAAATCTGCAAATATAAAATGGTATAAATCAGGCTGCTTCGAGTTTTCCTGTTCTTAAAATTATTATTAGCGTGTTGTGTGTCTGTCTTTCTTCATACAAGTTGAGGTTATAGAAACTCCCCTGTACAAAACTAAAAGATGGCTTATTCTCAGATATTCTAGGTATAACCCCAGTAGAATTTAAAGGTGTCTTAAATGTTTTACTGTGAATACCAACCAGTATTGTTGGTGTAAGCTTGCATAAGCAATGCAAATGTAGATGGAAGATGAGTACTTTATGTAGAGAGAGTTCTGAGCTTTTCTTCCCCTACCTCCCAATTAGAAAGGCTTCTCTTTGCCTTGTGTGGTGTTGTGTAGGAGCTGGTGATTTGTGCCTAGATCCAAGTTGCTTTGTGAATGAGGAAGATGTATGCAAAAAGGTGGAGGAGGCAGATAATTTCCTTTTCAGCTCCCACAGAGCAATTTCTTACGGAAAGCAAGATGAGGACTAATGCGACAATGACGGAGCAAAAACGATGGGGCAGTACAGTGTAATTTTTCCCACCTCCATTATTAAAGCTTTAGTAACATTAAAGTGATTATAAGAAGCAGTGACCCATTTCAGATGTAAGAGGAGAAAGCCTGGTGATGTGGCAGAATTCCAGATGAAGAGTCAAAAAATGAGAATGAGGAGGTTACAGAAATGAGCAGCTTAAAAAAAAAACCACATGCAAATTGGTTACTTTGAAAAGCCTAAAACACATGTGCTGACTAACGTTGCCCTAGATTGGTAGTTATTTCAGAATTCTACTTGCTTATATATTTTTTGTTTGTTTTTTAATTTCTAGGTAAACAGCTGTTTGAAATGGATCACAACCTTGACACCTCTGACATCCAGTTCTTGGAGGAAGGTAAATTTCTATTAGCTCCCACAGTTGAAACACAGTGACTTAAAGTTGGTCACAATTCCTAAGCAACATCTCTATTACACTTCTGTCTTAACATCTTAACCTCGGTATCGCTTTTACATCAAAATAACTTTATGCCAAGTACTGTTCTGCAGATTGAACAGAAGTGATTGTAACTTCTTTCAAAAAAGGAACAAAACATTTTAAAGATGCTAAAGCATATTTATTTGCAGGTTCGAACTTGAGTTGATCTTATTTCTGCTGCTTCTATTCCAAGTCTCTGGGGCAGCAGAGGAGAGGTGCTGATCTCCCCTCTCTGGTGACCAGCGATAGGAACTGAAATGAAGCTGCGTCAGGGGAAGTTCAAATCAGACATTAGGGAAAGGTTCTCCACTGAGACAGTGCTCAATCACTAGAATGGGGTCCCCAGGGAAGCTGTCGTGGCACCACTCCAGTTCAAGGAGTGTCTAGATAAGGCTTAGTCATATGGTTTAGTGTTAGGTAGTCCTTTGAGGAGCAGGGAGTTGGACTCAGTTACTCTTATGAATCCCTTCCAACTTGAGGCATTCTATGATTCTATGAAATGCTTGCACTGAAAGCAAAACCAAAACCAATCAAAACAAAAAAAAAACACAAAACCATTGAAACCCTGCTTGCCCTTATTTTCTAATAACCAGCCTTCTTATCCCTGATTTCAGTCACAGATCTTGAAGTTCTCTCTCTTGTCTCTGACCCTCAACACCAATAGTAAACATGTTGCATGTCAAATTGAATGTATTTTTGCCTCTGTACAACCCAGTTCTTCATGGTTTTGTGCAGATTTGTGTATTATTTTACCAAAAAAAATGGCCTAGTGCCAGGTGGGAATTCTATAAGTCTGTGCAAAAGATGTTAAACTTGGAAAATTTGTTGCAGATAGATCTACTTACAGTCACGTATCTATTTAATTTTCTGTATTGCCACTTAGAGTTTAAAAAACTGATTTTGAGTTAAGACAATTCTTTAATGTAGCTGCATTATCTATTGGTATTGCTAAATACACATGCTGAAGAGTGAAGAATTTTCTCTGCAAGTAACAATAAAAAAAAAAAAGTTTTTTATGAGCATCAGTGAGTGAAATGGCAGTCATGGGGGAGTTAATCTTCTTTTAGTTAGAGGGCATATCCTTCAAAATCCCTAAAATGAGGATGGGTTGTCAGCAGAACACTTGGCAGTGGCAAGGGAGGAACAGGCCTCTGAATTTGGCCTCTGCATCTGAGTGATTTGAGATTAATATGGTAATTTTTAATCCTGTTGCTGTCAGTGATTAAAACTCTTGTTCTTACTGCTGTTCACATTCCATCATAAATGCAACAGGTTACTAACTGCAGTTTAACATTACAGTGCTGTGTAATAAGTGCTGCTGATTTTCACAGCCTGACCAGAACAATGGCGTTATCTGTTCGATTTTAAATGTTATAGAGGCTCTTCCGAATCCAGGGAGGGTGCAGGACTGTGGTCAGTGACCGGAAGGTGTCGCTGATGGTACAGATAAAATCGTAGCAGGTCTCAAATGTTGTCCCTAGGTCAGCATTGTCTGTTTCAGAAGAAAATGTGAAAGCATGTAAAGCTTCATCTTGCTTTTAAAATTGAATTCCGAAAAGAGAAATGTGAACGGTGTGTAAGGTTGTGTTTTGTTGTGTTTTTTTTAATAAAACCTACCGTTTTTTGTGGTTGTGATAGTCGTAACTATTACAGCAGTGAGGTCTTGAACTCCTACTTCAGTGGTACCTGGCAGAAGGATTCTCCCCTTCTGGGAACTAAAAATGTTAACTTTATTCTCCCAATGGGTTCTGAAGTCCCATATGACATTTCTTTTGACTGTGTTTTGGTATGAGGGGAAAAACCTTTGCTTCAGCTGTAAAATGATGTGGTGTTTCCATTTCCATAGCTATTTGATATGTAAAAAGCCAAGTAAGATATGAAGAATGAATATGAAGAAGTGATGTGTAATTTGTTGTTCTGGTTCTTTTTCTCTACTCACATGAAAATAAATTATTTTTCTGTTCTTTGCAGCTGGAAACAGCGTGGAGGTTGATGAATCTTTATTCCAAGAAATGGATGATTTAGAGTTGGAGGATGAAGAGGATGACCCTGACTACAACCCTGTTAATTTAGATAGTGATTAGGCTTTTTTTGAATTGGCTCTGTCATCAGTATGGACATTTGTAAGGAGAAAGGGGCAGGCAGGAAAGCCACAGCATCTGTGGTTTTAGTGATGTGCATCAGTTTTTTTTTTTCTTTATTTTTCCAAAGAAAAAACCCTAGATATTTAAAATCCAGGAGAATTGTCTTCTGATGACTTTCATTATAAATAAATTTAATATTTCAAATGAAAAATGTGAAGAATACTGATCTGTCTGAAAATGCCATTTTATTTTCTCTTATTTTTGCCTTCTTCTTTCTGTACTTGTTCTTTGAAGACGTGACAACCAGCAACATGGGAAGATGTTATAGAAGTGCTAAACACACCTGCATCTGAAGGCTGAGCAGCTGTTCTGTTATCTTCCACCTTGGATATACATGGGCAGCTTTGATGAATAAAAGGGATCACATACTATGCAGTTATTTTTTTATTATTTTTTTTAAATTCTGTGGAATTTTATAACACTTCAAGTAATGGTTGGTTCTGGTGCCCAAACCTATCAGCTGTAGATAGGCAGCACTAGTAACCTTTTAAGAAGGCATAGCCTAATTAAAGTTTTATGGGAACCATTTCCGTACTATTAGGGTTAAAACTTTTGCTGTCATTGAGCATAGCAGTTTCAAAATCACTAGTTCAAGTATGTTGGGAAAAAAATCAGAATTAAATTAAGTCCTCTTTACAAGTTCAGTTGATTTATTCAGAGAGGGTTTGTTGTGTTTCTATTCTTGTTTGTTGGTTGTTTTTTTTTTTAACTTGTACATCAGTGAACTTCCATGGGGAAAAAAAACACTGTAGGAAAATTGGTTTTCTTTTGGGAATGGACTTTGGAAACACTATCAGTGGAGTGCAGTACCAAGGTCTGTAGAGTACTTACAGGTTTGAATGTAACGAGTGTTGTTTCAGTAGCATCTTGTTGGCAGCCCCTAAAGGGTGGCACAATGTGCAGTAAAGCCACACATCAGCTCCTGAGTGTAACGATCCTGCAGAATTGCTTATGGAGCAAATGGAAAGTTTAGACTTGTCCCTTCCCACCTCCCAAAAAACACAAAACCTTGTGAGAACTGAGGTGTTGAAGCATGCTGTGTTTGAGACTGCATCAGCTAGAAGGATGAAGCTATGGATGAAGGTTCCAGAAGACAGCTCTCCAAAGAGAGGACCACCAGGCACCTCAGTGATTAAACACTGTGTACTGAATTTTAAAATACTGTTTATGGACTGCCTTAACTGCGCCAGCTTCAACTTTTGAAGAGGATTGCACTAAAATATCACACTGCTTAGATTAATAATAAATGTATGAACTTTAATATTTGGAAATTCCATATTCAAAATGAGACATTTTATTCTGGAAATAATTTAATGGCATATAAGATTCTCTGCTCATATCGCTTGAGATTGTCTGTTGAGGATGATCTCCTTTAACATGTTTCAGTAGTCTTTTTGTATTCAAGACAAATGAGTTTCTAGTAAATAGAAATAAATGTTCAATTACCCTGTAAATATTTGTATAAATTAACCATGTGCCTTTGTTCCTACTGTCCTCTATTTGATCTTTTTAACTTTGCCTACAAAGAACTCTAGACAAGCACCTAGGTTTAAATGATAATGTATGTTTCCAAGCAATAAGCAGGATCTGTATTCCAGCGGAGTTACCAAACATATTAAAAAATTGTGAGCTAAGTGATACTAAATCTGACTTTTCCAAAGATAGGGTTGGATTGAAAGGTTCATGGTGAATGCATCCAGCTTCCTGTGTGATTGCTACTATGCTTTAAAATGCTGTTCAGCACCAAACTTAATTTACTTCTGATATGTCTCATTCAGCTGTATAAAAAACATGTAACTCCTAAGGCTGCTTTCCATTTTCAGAGATGTATGTTTAAAATGCATTCTTTCATAAAAGAGGTGAATTAGTTCTCTTCAAATCTGGACTGAATCCAAGAATGGTGTGTAAACAATGCAAAATGTGGTCATCTGAGAAAATTTTCCAAGTGGGTCTCTAAGAAGAATCATCTTAAGTTTGAAAAAAAAGGTTCTTGTTAGTGGTATTGCTAGATTAATCATATTTTCTATTCTGTTTTCATACTAACATATTTATTGGTATTCATGCTGAAGATTTATAACAAGGATGTTAAAATTATGTCAAGCAAGTTAAAATGTGAAAATGTATTTTCACTGTTGCATCTCGTGTTTCCAGGCAGAGAAAATAATAAGGGTTGACGTGACAAAAAATTCTTAGAAATCTGTTCCTCCAGGTCTGTGGAACAAGCTTCAGTGGCTCAATTTGAATGTGGAATTTGTTTAGCTTTGTTAGCAATTAACATCTGTGAAATAAAAGGGAATTTGACTGAGACTAAACTCTGCTATGTTTCTGTGCTTTAGTTTGCTGAAATTGAGTGAGATCAGGTTTTTTTGGTGGAAAAAGCTTAGGCGCGATATTTAAGGTTTACTTACGTACTTTGGATTAGATTGAAGTCTAGTTCATATTAATCTAATAAATTCCATTGATAAACTTTGATAGAATTTTAGTAAGTCAGCATCATGGTGCTGACAGCCTTGCTTTTAGCTCTCAAAGTCTAAAGCGTACACTGTAATGAATCTGGGGAGATGATGATGATGAGTTGCAACACTGTACAGCCATAGCTTATACAATTCTTCCTGTGCTGAATTTCTGGAATAGTTGTTGCCTGAGCACTTACTAAAATTCAGATGGTATCCACCAAATCAAGATGCTGTAGGAGTACAATTGTGGGCATGCTGCAAAGTTGAGGATTTTGCATCTAATTTATGGTTGCATTATGATCCACTTTAAAGCAAACAACACCTAAGGGTGGTATATGTTTGCTGTTCTTTCTTTTCTTGGCCTAAAATGGGGAGCCTGAAGTACATTTCCTGTGGGGAGAATCAGCTCCTAGGAGACTCATATCCATCAGGATACCTCCCATTTTTAAACTGTGTGGTTGCTGAAATAAATTCAAAGCTTGTTGGACCAGTCTATGCTTGCATCCAAAGTGCTGGTAGTCTAGATCCGGAGAGAAAGAGCAGTCATCTGAGTGCTCACTCTCATTTTGCAGAATCTGAAATGGCTGGAAATACTACTTTTTCTACCTTTTTTTTTTTTAATCAGCCCTTCATTGCCTTGCAGCTTGGCTTGGAGTAGCAGGGAGAGGCTTTTCAGGTTCAATTCTTTGGCATAATTTCATTTATTGTTATTAACTCAATTTTACTTTCTGCACTGCATGTTCCTGAGATCAGCAACCGATAAAAATGAGGTGATACCTCTGGGCTGTGGTGTGCAGTGTAAGAGGTTTCTGTGGCTTTTATTACTATCTTGATAGTTCCTGTCGCTGGAAAAAAAGCACTAAAGTTCAAGGTCCAACTTGTAATCAGGAGTTCTGTTTGCATTTACAGCAAACTCAGCAAAAGCCCTATGTTAGGCTTCTGACTTTGAACCAGTATGACCTTTCCTGTGGCCAGTGTAAATATGTACAGGTAGAAAAGATCACTGGTCCACTTGTGGGAAGTTTGAACTCAGGGATCAGGGGATGCAGTGGTAACATAAGTCATATAAGGTTTTTGTTCTTTTTTTTTTTTTTAACTTATCATCTTTGTATTGTGGATGCAAAGTTCCTGAAGGAAAGATGATCAAGCTGTACATTTGAAGGACATGGAAACATTCTTCTTGTAGGTTAATTATAAGAGGTCACCTTTGCCTATAGAAGCAGCTAACTGTGCAGTGCTTGAACTAGTTCTGTCCAGAAAAAAAAAAAAAAAGCAGGTAAAATATATCAAAAAGCTGAAATAGATGGATTGAAAAAGAGAAGCAAGCTGGTCCCTCGGTACCGGTGAAAGAAGCAAACAAATAAACAAACAAGCCATTACTTGAACTGAAAGGGTATTTTACATTTTTGAAACAATTTATGGAAAAGTCAAGGTTAGGAAGTCTGTCAAATAAAAAATATTCTTTTGAATGTTTTTTTAATTAGCAGTTGTATCCTGCTATGGCTGGTTGTTGGGACATTGATTCAATAGCAATCAAAAGCAAGAGAAGTGCAGTTGGTGCCTGAAAAAAGGTTGGAACAAAAGGTTTCCTCCCACTATTGTGTTCTTTCCCTCTGCCCTCCTGACTGAAGCTGTGTTGAAAGGGACAGATTACTGGAGGTGAAAATAATACTAGAGGTGTATCAGAGACTTAACAGTGTGTGCATGGAGAGGGAAGGAGCTACAGCTCTAGTTTGTGAGTAGTTTCAATGGATAGAAATGAGAAATACACAGGAATTGGACCTCCCTTTGTAAGCAATTGTGAAGTCATTACTGTCTCCAAAGGTGAATGTGTCATAGAACAGATGCATGTCAGGAGTAGAGCTGTTGAATTTCCAAATATTTTTTAAGTCACTGATAGAAAAGCATCTTGAGATACATCTCTGTGCTTACCCTGCCAGAGGAAGCCCGCGGCAAGCTACTACATAGAGTTGAACCATAGACAGGTTAAACTGTGGTAGTGGGCTAATGAATATATGGGGAAGGATGTAGTCACTGATAACTGGTAGTTTTTACATTGGTAGCTCTAGCAGGTCATCAGGTAAGGCAGAGCAGACGTCCACTTAAAAACTTCTATGATTATGGCTTGTGTTTTTTCTCATTATTCCAAGTAGCAAATTGTCAGACATGACCTCAAGAGCCGTAACAGACAGAACAGTGAAGTGTTTCATAAATAAGCAACAACAGAGAATGAAACACAAAGGTCACTTTAATAGCAAAGGGTTGAGTATTGGTGCTTACCAAGGAAAAAGGAACTCAAACATATCAAAGCATAACCACACCACAGCTGGCCAAGCTTACTTCCAGTCTGGACGTGGAAGGTTCTACCAAAAGAAGCCTCACAAAATGCACCAGTGAAACATTTTTCAGGAAGCTTTCAGCAACACCAATCTATCCTCACTTGGTTGTCTGTAACTCTGGTATTATTGAAGTGAATAACAGTCTAAGCAAACATGAAGAAAGCAAGTCATTTTACTAAGAAAGTTAATTAAAATACTTAAAATACCCTGTAAAATTAGCACCAAGAAACTGGTGGGATTTAGTAGCTTCCTCAGAAAACTTGCATTTTGTGATGGAGTTATCATTGTTATTATTCCTAGAACATAGCTGAAAACAGCTGTATTTTCTTCTTCCAGAACTTCACACATGTCCATCCAGTATAAACACCAAAGGATTATGAAACTCAGAACCAGCCTACATTTCATCAGTATCCCAGACAAATTTGATGGGCAGGGTCTTCATTTTCTCTTTAAGAACTTCATCAAACCTTTCACTCTGTGCTACTGTCATTGTGTTTTTCCAGTCTCCAACAGTGCCTGAGGAAAGACGCAGCAAAGAGAGATGAGAAGCAGAACGTGCACCTCTGAAAAGCCCACTGGAAACAGAGTGCTAGTCTTGGGAAGCAATTCCTGGCATCCTTAACATCTCCCTGTTGCTGGTCTGCCAGCTGAGGCTCTTTGCACTCTTTTGAGGACACGCTTCCAAATCTAGGTGCTATGAATTATATGCAGCATAGACCTATAATCATGACTCCTCATGAAGTTATTAAACTAATTTGTTCTGATGTTTTACTGATTCTGTTGAGATCAAAAGAGAAATTATTTAAAGCAACAGTGTTCATTCTTCTCATAGGCACCACTCTATAATCCCTGAAGGTCTCCTCCCTGACTGTTGCGACATCTTAGCAATGCCCAGGAGCCCAGGAGTGCCATGTATGGACTCAGAGGGTAGTTGTTGAAGAAGGTCTGTGCTCACACAATTAAGCTGACTTGCCTTAAAAAGTAAGAAACAGTAAAAAAAAGTATTACCTTACCCTGGCCTTAGTACAACCCTGAAATCTTTATCTGTATCTGACAGGCCTGTTACAGCCAGTGTTGCAATCTGTAAATTATTACCTTTTAATTATCCTAAGGAAAATACGGTAAAATCATGGATACCATGGCAATAAAACTGCTCTATTTGCCACTGACCTGAACTCTTCCCCTGGAAATGGAGCATTCCATCTGAGACCAGAGACCCTAGACTTATCTTACACCAGGAAGTGCGGGAGCAAATAGCTGGTGCATCAGTCTGCTTCCACTTTACCTTTTCGTAGGAATCTACCCTTGTCTCTTGATACCCATTCATCTGGCAGGTTCTCATAGTTTGCCCTGGGGTCTTTCCTCATGTTCTCAAATGTAGCCTGTCTCACAACACTGTCCACTTCCTCTTCACTCAGCTTCTTGCCCACGAAGTTGCAAATCTTCAGCACAGCACTTCTGAGATCCTGCAATGTTACTTTGAAAAGTCATGATGATGCAAAGAACGAAATGCATACAGCAGTGAAATACAGGATAACAAAGAACATACATTAGGGTGCAAAACCTGTATCTCAAGTTAGATGCCCTGGCAAAGTCACCCCTGGAATCACACCTCCCACTCAGCCTTTGGCGATCTTGTCAGTCTTTTCCTAGAGAGGGGCTGGACCTGAACAACCCCAGGCTCTAAAAGCTGAGGGACCCATGCAGTGGCCTATGGCCCAGGCTGTGCTGCTGTGGCTGGGACACTCTGGGGCTTGCCCACCAGAAGAAGGGCAGCCACCTGGGAGAAATGAGAAGTCTCACAAAGCTAGGGGCAGCCAAACTACCTAAATAAAGTACCTAATAATTGTCTAGTAATTGATATGACCCTGAACCAATGAGACAAATTACTTCATCCTCTTGGAATTATCACCTTGAATCTACTCCACAATGGATCATGAACTTTTCAATATAAAGTGTAATATAATAATATATAATAATAAAGAGCTGTCCAATACTGCACACAATAATGGAAGAGAGTATCTTTAATACAGTGATGTTAATCGACCTTACCTTTTTCATTTCTTCATAGGTAAGGAAGAGTATGTTGAAATCCTCTGCATGACTGTCCCAGCCTGCAACGTGATCAAACCACGAACTGCCAAGTACTTTGCAAGGGAAATAATTATTAAAAATATATATATTAAAAAAAATAAAATAAAATATTTTAAAAAAGGATAAATACTATTAACAGCTAGTGGTAAAACAGTAGGATTATCAATCATTTAGGTCTTTGAAAGTGTTTTTTAAAATAATATTTTTTGATAGTGTCAGGGACGCATGCTTCCAGTCTTGTGACAATTCTCTGAGCTAATGTGACACATCCCCTTTTGTTTTGAGTAATCTGAACTAATCTTGGCAGAAGCAGAAAACTGCTTGTCTATCTTTGCCATATGATGTCTGTGCTTATGGGTTCAGCTCCACTAACCAAGCACAGAAAGTGTTAATGGATTTTCAGTCATAATGTTAATATTCTGAGTCAGCATCCACTTCAGATAAAGTAAGCAGCTTGCATGTTATTGAAAGAATCAAAGCCATGCCTATGCTACTCCCTTCAGACCAGGTTGAATCTGAAAATGCTCAGCCAGATTGTAGCTTTGTATTCAAATTACAGTACAGCTGAGGATGAGGTAATTTATATTTATTGATATAATTGATCTCCCTTCAATCCGAGGTCATGGAATATGATTTGGGCTCTTTAGTAAAAAAGGTATCCTACCTTTGCCAGCCAAAAATCTCTCCATAAAAAGGTTAAAATCTGGTATTTCCTCTAGTGTATTCATGAATTTGGAGAAGTGGTAGTAAGAAACCAGAACATCCTTAGGGTTCCTGGTCACATAAATAATCTGAAAAATAACAAGAAGACTAGTTTTAGAGATCTTAAAGGACTGCCTTGCTCTGACCAGCTGTGCATTTTCCCGGCACTTCTCACTTGAGGAGGTAGAATGCATCCTCAGCAAGTTTGCAGATGACACCATGTTGGAAGGGAGTGTTAATCTGCCTGAGGGTAGGGAGGCTCTACATAGAGACCTGTATAGGCTCGATCGATGGGCCAAGGTCAGTTGTTCAATGAGACCAAGTGTCAGGTCCTGCACTTGGGCCATAACAACCCCAGGCAATGCTACAGGCTTGGGGAAGTGTGGCTGGAAAGCTGTCTGGCAGAAAAGGACCTGGGGGGTCTGACTGATAGGCGGGTGAATATGAGCCAGCAGTGTGCCCAGGTGACCAAGAAGGCCAGTGGCATCCTGGCTTGTATTAGAAATAGTGTAGCAAGCAGGACCAGGGAGGTGACTATCCCTCTGCACTCAGCATTGGTGAGACAACACCTCAAACACTGTGTCCAGTTTTGGGCGCCTCAATGCAAGAAAGACATAAGAGGTGCCAGAACGTGTCCAAAGAAGGGCAACAAAGATGATGAAGGCCTTGAGAAACAAGTCTTACAAGGAGTGGCTGAGGGAACTGGGGCTGTTTAGTCTGAAGAAAAGGAGGCTGAGGGGAGACCTCATTGCCCTCTACAGTTACCTGAAAGGACATTGTAAAGAGGTAAACATTGGTCTCTTCTCACAAGTAACTGGTGATAGAACAAGAGCAAATGGCCTCAAGTTGTGCCAGGGAAGGTTTAGACTAGACATTAGGAAGAACTCTTTCACTGAAGGGGTTGTTAGACATTGGAACATGCTGTCCAGGGAGGTGGTTGAGTCACCATTCCTGGATGCATTTAGAAGTCCTCTAGATGTGGTGTTTGGAAATATGGCTTAGTGCTAGACTTGATGGGTTAGGTCTAATGGTTGGACTAGATGATCTTAAAGGTATTTTCCAGCCTAAGTGGTTCTATATCTCTGTGATTCTCCATTACTGGAAGTCTTCAAGGGTAGCTTGCACGGCTGTCTGAGAAACCAGATCTACTGGGAGATGTCCATACCAATGCAGGCAGGCTGGATCTAGGTGATCATTAAGGTCCATTCTAACCCAAACCATTCTATGAGTCTATGATATAGGTCCCATTAAAAAACATGCAATAGCAGTTTGAAGTTTACAATCACATTAGGTAAATTCTGAATAATATGGTGCTGTGGATTTGTTTATAGGTGGTGACATTTCTGTAGTTGCAGTTGTTCAGTGCCTGTGGCTAATTCTCTTCATGGAATCAGTGTTACAGGATTCAGTGACACTATTTTCTTATACAAGGCAGGCAGATTGCAGTAACACTAGAAAATCATTAGGTTGATTCAACTTCCCTTCTGTGTAAAATTACAATGAAATTAAGAAGAATATATCGCAAATCTCAGCTTTGGTAGTGTTGACAGCACCAGTACTCTGTGACCTCAACTCCTGGCCTGTGATGCTTGCGCCAGAGGCAGCGTGCAGGCAGATTTTGAGTTATATGTTAGAGCCCTGGCATCTTAAAGGAGGGAGCTGTTGTGGGCAAGGGTTGTTTTGGCTCCTACTGACTCCTGACCACACAAGAGCTGCTGCCTTGGGCATAGACCAAACACCACTAGCGAGATGGGCAGACTCCTCTGCCTCTTGACTAGCATCATGTACCAGCTTCTAATAAATTTCTGCCTATTAACAGTCAGTGTCTAATTAGGAAGAGAAAATAGAGCCTGGCATGTTGCCCTTACAAGATAACAAATGTTTGCAGAGGGAGACTGAAGAATCATCCTCTCAGACTGCCTTTCTACCTAGGAAAAATGTCTACTTCTGATTCCCACTTGGCTGAAAATCTAATTATCTTTAGCAAAAAACAAAACCATTATTTCCAACTGTATAAAATGAAGATTCCTAACACATTGCAAGACAACTCAATAAGGCCTAATTCAAAAGCCCTGACCTCAAAAGTTATTCTATGGTTTGATAGAAAATACAAACAACCGGAGTGACATACTCAAGTAGAGGAAGTAGAGGTGGAAAAGATCCCCTGCACAGGCAAGATTTTTGTGAAGTCACAACAGTTTCCATATTTTCTGACATGTGTGCTCTGTGTGATTTTGGGGCAACTTTCTCATTCTTTGCTGGGTGTTGTTTGGATGTTAAATCTTCTGCATACGAGCTCTCTCCTCTAAACTTCACTGGTACTGTGAAGAAAATAGTGAGCACATTGCAGTTTCCTGCTACACTTGTATTTGTGGGGAAGGTAACAGCAGCACTAAGAGCTTGCCTCTATAGCCCATGTGGGCAGAGCTCTGCCATGGCTGTCTGTTCCTTCAGCTGTGGAAAATCTTGCATCAGAAATAAGAATAGAGGGGACAGATGTAATTTGGACCATTATAAAAAAGACTGACAGAAGTATGAGATCCCTGTCCTCAGAGCAAAATAAGACAGCTAAGACAATTCCTGGTGTGCTGTTGGGAGTAGGCATCCCATATACATCTTCAGACTAGTCTGTATGTCCATGTTCTGTCACTGACCTTTAGTGTAGTAGTCATGTGGTTACGCCTGTCTCTAAGGAAGTATTTTCCATGGGAGACAGGCCCTGAGCAATGGATGGAGAGTCCAATTCAGAAACTCACAACACCGAGGAACAAGAAAAGGCAGTTCTTGCATTCCCTCTCTACCTTCTAATATCCCATCCTACTCATATTTTCAGTGTGGGAGACTTTTCTTCAGACTTCACCAGAATCACATGTTTTCACAAGGTGCAATCTTTGATCCTGGCATATTTCCCTGATGTTACAGAATCACAGAATGGGTTGGGCTGAAAGGGACCTTGAGAATCATCCAACCTCTCTGCACGGGCAGGGACACCTCCCACTAGACCAGGCTGCTCAAAGTCACATCCAACCTGGCCTTGAACACTTTCAAGGAGGGGGCAAACACAGCCACTCTGGGCAACTTGTGCCAGCGTCTTGCCACCATTATAGTGATTAGTTTCTTCCTAATGACTAGTCCAAACTACCCTCTTCCAGTTTAAAACCGTTAGCCCTTGTCCTAGATGCACCACCCCTCTCTCTATCGGTGTTGAGGCTGAGAAACTGGGGAAAGGGAAAGAAAGAAAAGAGCTTTAGAAGGTCCCTGATCTCCCCACATACATGAAGCAGGTGATATTCAAACTGAGACACAGGGAACTGAAAGAAGAAAAAAAGGTGGGATTTGGACCAATTCACTGAGGCAGATTGGCAGGATTGCTTTTAACAAAATTGTAAACATAACATCGCTTACACGTCCTCTTTTGTTTTTCAGGTCTCTTGGAACCAGGTAGTAAGGCAGGTGGGTGGCAAGTACACGAGGCAAAGGAAGTTTTGTATAATCCGTTTTTTTTAAATTGTATTCCAGCCATGGGATTCTTTCCATGGTCTCCACATTTTCTGTTCCATTACGGTGGCCGTCATGAATTATTAAGCTCAAAATGTTCTGAGTCCACACAGTTCCTAAGAAGAAAAACTTTTTATTTGAACTTTGCTTGATAAATTTATTTTTTAAAATTAAAGAGAGTATATTGTTATTAACAGAGCCTCTGCTACAGTGAGTTTCACCACACAAATTAGGTCTGTCCTCACCCTCTTGTTACAACATGAATTGCTGCATCTCTGTGGGACACACAGCCAAATATCTCTCATCCTTGGCAGATCTGGAAATGACCTTTGCTTCCAGAACTCCTGCAAAGTGTTGTGATGGAGTTGTGAGCTGATAACACCACGTTTTTAAAACACAAATGAGTCCCATGAAGCAAAGGCTTGTGGCAATAGGCTCTCTAAAGTTCCTTGGGGAAGGTCAGTCACAGATGCTGGCAGGTACGATCTAAAAAGGCAGGACCCTGAAGGTGGCTGACCACTGTGCCAGTATGTGCTCATGTGGTAATGGTGGGAGACAAATCCAGAATGGTTAGGCCACTTGGGCGATGAGCAGAACTGTTTAGATCCAGCTCTGACCTTATCAGCTCTAGCACTGGTTACTTTTACTTTTTAGGCCATAGGCCAGTAAAGGTGAACACTTGGGAGAATTCAAATCAATGCAGAAGAGAATTGAATTATTGCTGTAGGTTACCCTGAAGAAGTACAGAGAAAGGCAGGCATCTGAAACTGAAGACTAATTGTTCAGGCCTCATCTGGCAAGGAAGCTCTTGGTTCTGGAGATTAGACTGTACACATATTGTGGATTTAAAGCCACTGGGCAATAAAAGGAAATAGCCCTAGGATTCAGAGGAACCATATCCAGTGATTTCACAGCTGTGTTTACTGCCTTGCTCTGCTTGGCATAATCAATCCGGACAATTTTTCTGTGCAGTGATAGAGATTCAACAGAAGTATTGAAAGGTACCTTAGCCTGAAGAATGAGACAAGATGGTGAGACTGGATAGAGAAAAAGGTGTGAATGACATCAAGAGACCTCCTGTGCTAGTCATGACTTAGAATCATCTTCCAACTCCTCCTTGTCCCAGAGCAGCCCATCATTTTGCAAAACAAAACTTCCCCTTCCAAAGACGTGCTCATCCCAGTGCCATAACATCATTACCCCTTAAATATTCCTTCCCACCCTCCTTCCTCTCTGCCCTACTTGGGCAGCTCAGCCAGGTGCTGCCCAGTGATGATGAGCTAACATTGCCGGGATCCCTGTCCCCTTGCTCGTCACCCATGACCCCTCCACAGGCTTCTCGTATCACTTCTGCCTTTGCCATAACCACACCTGGTGCTCCCTGCCGTTCCTTCTGGGCTTTGCTTTTCCCCCCTTTAGAAACATTCCGTTCTTACCTGATTTGGGGTAAGTTGTTATAAATATGTCACTGTCATTGATTTCAAAATCCTCTAGGGTAGCTACATACTCAGGTGTAGTTTCTACACCAAAATAATACCCTTTGTATTCAAATAGATATTTTTTTGATGGTTCCATTGTTTATCTGTTGTCCTGATAGGCAAATAACCTGCAACAAGAAAATATAAAGTTAGATTATTTCTTTGTCTGTCATGTCACAGAAACAGCCAAACAAACAAACAAACAAACGAGTAATTCAAACAGATAACAGTGCTGGCAGATTTTAGAAAAGTGCATTTCAGTTAAAATCTGCAAACAGTACACTGAAATTTCTCTTTCAGATTTTCAGAAGTACATTACTCAGGATACATCTCTAGTGGGGAAAAATAAATAAATATGTATAGCAGTCCCCTTTACTCATATACAGGTTTATGCTATGTGTATGTAAAAACTCATGTAACTGAAGGAAACATTTGTAAACGTAATTTATTTTGATTCCTCTGGGTTTCAAGTGACTGCTGAGTTATCTTTAGGATGTCAGTAGTACTTGAACAGAGCTAGCTTGACTACTGAGCTCTCATTTTGAGTTTTGTGACTGAAACGATGTTCAGAATGTCTTACTGCAATTTCTCCCTCCTTCTACTTATCCTCTGTCTTGTTTACCAATGTTTCCTTGAGCTGAACAAAGCATCCATGGGTTTCCGTGAGCTTAACATCCTGGTCTCTCCCTCCTTGCTCCGTACATGAGCCATTTTTTAAGATCACTAGTCAATGCACAAGCCTTGGCAGAAATGACTTCAGCAAGTTCACATCCAGACTTGGGTACCACAAGCATTATCTTACATGGGTTAAAATATATGTGGGGAGACTTTCCTATCTGGAATTTTGTCTGTATGTCAGTCCCCTGCCTTGCCTTCACAATGCAACCATTGCCGTGCCTTCTTGGACTGCTGTGCTTGCCATTGCTTCACCTTCTGGTTATCAACCTTGCCGCACCTTCAGGATATCACCCTTGCCCAGATTTGTTGAATGAGCCGATTGTGCAAGACATGCCACTCAGGTGATCTGAATTCACCGCAACAGGCAATCCTTGGAGCTGAGGCTCTGCCTCCCCTTTGCCTTCCTGGTCTGTGAACTCCCCAGGCTAGGAGTTTGTTGCTGCCCAGCACTGTGATGCCCTGTCCCACCCCGTGGCACCCCCATGCCAGGAGCCATGTCTTTGGTGGGAGTGCAGTCTTTGACCTGCCCTCCCGCTCCGAGCCCTCAGAGGGCACAGGGATCTCCAGTGGCTTGGCTGCTCGGGCTCATTGGCAGGGAAAGGTGGTAGCCACTGACCACACTGGCACTTCTACACGTGTATGAATAGACCATGAAAAGATATACCATGGAAAAAACCAACCCTGTCTTGTTTTCTTGAAAGCCTATTCATGGTCTGTACATGATGAGAGAAAAAAATATACATTCAGGTGTTCTTGTACCAGCAAGCTAGGCAACTCAAAAACGCATCTCAAAAATCAGTTTCCAAATGCAGACACAAGGGTGTCTGACAGTTAAATTCCTAAATCCACAATGACCATACATTTTAATTCTGCTTAGTTAATTATCTTGCAGCTATGACTCCAATTTCTTTGTTGCATGACACAGAAACGTCCGTGTTTTCCATGATGTTGGTTTCCACATCATCACTGAGATAACCCCTCCTGGACAGCAGTTCTCCTCTCAAGCATGCACCAGCTCTAGCCCCTAGTTCACGGAAGCTCTTTCTGCAAGTACTTGCCAAAAATGGTCTACAAAGATGTCTACATACAGTTATTATTATTTTACTGAGAGGGTAATAGTTCATCATTTAACTCACAGATATATCATTGTAGTAGTTTCAGTCTTACTTACTTTCTCTGCTCTCTGTTCAGTGCCCACGGAGATGTGTGCTACTACTTCCCAGCTCAGTGAATGCAAGTAATAGGTTCCAAAGTTTTGTTTTTAACTGAGATGTGAGCCCGTGCTGGTTGGCTTACTTTCAATATTTGCTTACGTGTGACACACAGAGATTAGAGAACTAATATAACTTGTGAAAAAGCGAAAGCAGTCCAGAAATAATTTTTTAAAATCTTGAAATGTTCATTTTGATTTCTATTCCTCCTTTATCTACAGCATTATTGAGGAAGACTGGTGAGGAGTAGAAGGGAATACAATATTTTGCTTTTTGCTAGATTTTGTTTTGGTTTTGTCTGGGTATTTTTTCCTCACTTTTGTTGAACTTTGCCCAAATAGTATCGTATCTCCAATCTATGTGAGATGGTAATTCCCTAGAACAACCTGAATCCACCAGTCCACCAAAGTGGCTGTTCAGACCTGTCCAGCTGGGTCTCAGCCATGAGTCTGGAATGAGCTACTTGGGTTAATCATGTGTGTGTTCTTGTTGGGTTTTCAATGAGGTATTTTATAATTGAAACAAAAAAATGCCTGAAATGTTTCTCACTGAAACCTGAACTCAAACAACATCACAAAGAAGACGATTTTGTTACCCAGGTCTGTATTGTGTTTAGTATAAGATCAGTTCCCTAGGTAATCCCCAAACTTGCACAACCAATCAGTCAGGTTGGTCAGCATGTGAATGAGTCAGAATGAGGAGTAGGGCTGAGATTCTTTTCACCACAGAGGAAATCCTTACAGTGGAAAATTAAGCCTGTTCTGCTTTGCTTTCTGCTCCCATCAGGCATGCCTAGTACTTTGTAACCCTGAGTTCTATTCCCAATATTTGATAATAATGAAATACAATATCAATTGATCCTAAAATTAGGTGAGGAGGTGCTCCACCAGTGTCCCAGCCCCTGGCACATTGCTCTGAAGAACTGGTCCCACATCAGCTTTGTGAACTAGCTGGGGAGCCAAGAAGGTATGAGTTAGGTTAAGAAGGGGTATTTACCAGTGAAAAGAAATAGCATTTATAGCCATTTGGCGACTGAACAGATAGTGAGTGGGGATAGCACATGAATCCTAAGGATATTGTAAAACATAGGCATCCTAAATTTAGGATTTGGCCCTGCTTGTCAATAACACTGAATTACAGACTATCTGCAGTTAATTGAACATAGGTTTGATGTATATTGTCTTTTTCAGGGTAAACAGTCCATTGCAATTTCAATAATTAACTTTGGGATCTAAATACCTAACACATACTTGCACGGTAGGTGCAGTTGCACAAAGTTCAGTGGTAGGTTGGGGAAGGAAATGTACGGATTATTGTATAATTTAAACAAAACCCCTGTTCTCAGTGCTATTAGCATTTTACATACTTTTCTGTTGTTTTCTCTGGTGCTTCACACCAACACATTTCTGTACGTACTCAACACAGTTCTTTCACAAGTCTCTACAGTGGCAGCACACTGGTGCAGCTCTGAAGTCCCCTATGCAGCCAATAGACAGGCCTCCTGCCTACCTATACTGTAATGTTAAAATGTAAAGTTCTAAATTAGGCACATGGAATACCACAGTAAGTTTCACATAAGTTACTGCAAAACTCATTCAACCATGTCATAGCAAAAAAAAAGGGGCAAACTAAATAAGATTTCTTCAGCTCTCATTTTTGGAATATGCATAGGAGCAGATTGTTGCCCACCAACTGAGGAAAAAAAAAAAGTTTGTAAGGCATTCCTTTATTTTAGACATGCCTCAGATACTACTACATACAAACAACATCTAGTATTAACCCTTATTGCACAAAATCCATAACAAAGATCATGATGCCTGAGTTACTAAAGAAGCTTCTAAGAAGTTAGCATTACCTAAGGGCCACCATCAGAGTGGAAGACTAAGTGAAGCCATTTCTCATTAAGACTGTGTCTGCTCTCTCTTACAGGATTTCTGTCACCTGCAGACTGACTCTTCCCCTGTCTTTCACTCCTGTAATTCACAACTGAATGTGTTTTACCTGTGTGCCTTGTATCCAAGTTCCCAAGTTCAGCAAACTGGGAGTGGGACAATTTTAAGTTGCAACAATTCTAAAACACCATGGAATGGATTTGTCTTTGGAAGATGAGATGTCTGGAGAATTTTGTTTGTGTATTGCCACTAATGCATCACAGCAGGATTACAGCAGAGATGCTCTAACAAGTGCTGTTAATTTGAGGGTAGATCTTTCTTTGAGAGAGTGTTTTGCCTCTGATACCTGTTAGTTTGCTTTTTGTCCTCAGAATTTTCTAGCTAGAAACAGGGAAGAGTTGGTGAATTTTACACTGCAGAAAAATCACCAGGATAAAACTGAAGTCTGAGAAGTTTTGGAAAGAGTTATAAGGATGGTGTCAAATTTCTTCATCAGAGCTGTCGATTTTCAATACTGCATCCCTCAGATCCTGCAAAGGTAGATGGGGGCTGGAGGAGTATACCATTTGTCACGGTTTGACCCAGGAGCAGCAATTAAACCAATGACAACAACGTTCTCAATCCACTCCCCCTCCCACCCAAGTAGGGAAGGAGAAAGAGAATGAGGGAGAGAGACTCTCTGGATTGAAAACTAAACTAGACAGCTTTAATTAAACACTAACAATAGAAGAATATATATCCAATTATATACAAATGTGTGCAGGAATGTGCAAACCCCTCTTGCCTCTCCCCACCCCCAGCAACTCCCATGGCATGTCCTGAGCTGAGAACAGTCCCAAAAAGTTCTGGAGCTGCTGGAGAGCGCAGAGTTATGAGGGTCAGGAGAGCTTGAGTCTGGGGGTCGAAGGTGATGGATGGTCGGAGTCCTCCCCAGATGCCGGCCATGGACAGAAGAGAAGTGAAGAAGAAGCAGGAAGGAAGTTGTCGTCTGTGATTTCTGACTTCCCTCTGAACTTAGGTATATATATATGTGGAATGGTATATCTCTGGCCACTTTTGCTGTCTGTCTAACTCAGCCTCCTATGGGAGGGTCATAGATCTCCCAATAGTGTCTGAGCTGGCAGAGCAAAGACATGATCTTGGAGTCCCAGCAGTAACAAAAACATTCCAGCATTTATTATCAGTCCTAGCTGGAACACTTACTCTTAAAAGAGAGCTTGCTGAAGGAAAAAGCAATGAGTAAAAGGAAAAGTGGCTTCATCCTGGCACAGACCAGGACACTTATTTAATTATTCTTCTGTTACAGATGATTAATTTATTTTAACAAATCATATAACGG